TGAAGACAAAGCCATAAATAAGCAAGTGGATGGGGAATTAATTCAGATTCTGGTAAGGAGTTACCAGCTATAAAAAGTCACCTCTGGTCTGAGGACAGGTATCTTATCCAAGCTTATCTTCCTGATTGGGACAGGTTGTGAAAAGCGATCCAAGTATTGCTTGCATATGCAGCCAGGGAAAATGAATTTAGCTTACAAATCTTGAGGCTTACCTAGGCAGCAAATCCATATACATACATGGGCCATCTACTGTATATACAGGCTTCATTTCCCCTCCACTCCTTACAATGAAGAATTTTTGCCTGCAGCAAGAACATTACACGTTCGGAAATTCCCAGGGACCATGTAAGTGGGGCCTTCTCTTTGTTTTCCAAAGGGGAACCCTGAGGATAAATGACCTTCTATTTGACATTTCGATCAATATAGCTGAACTCTTTTGGTATACACACTTTTTCTTTTCCTGTTTTGCCTACCCTTTAGTTTGATCTCTGAAAATCTGGGTCTGGGGCTAATTGGGGTTCATTTTAAATTAACAGCCACTTTTGGTTTAAACGGGTTGTTTGAGAGGAAACCAGTTCCTGTCAAACCAGATTTCTTAGCTGGTTGTAGTCGTCCTTTGTAGTTGTACGAAGAACTTCTGTAGTTCCTGGCTGACATTCCATGGAAAGAACCAAGTTGTATCCTGAACCCCAGTGTCCCCACAGCTATTCATTTCCCCCTGCTGCTCTGCCCCCATTCCCAGCTGACTGTCTTTCATATCTCTTTGATGCATCTAGTTGGACTGAAGGCCAGCTTTTGATCATGTGGTATGGGACAGCACAAAGGGGTCAAAAGGACTGCTTCAAATTGGGCAAACCTTTTGACCAGGCACATTTAGTTAACAGCTAGAGGCCTAGAAGACCAAGCTGAAAGCAGTTCATTCTGGAGAAAACCTATCCTAGCGGTTGCTAAGAGTGTACACCAACTTGGTGACATTTGCTCAAACAACTAGTGACCTATTGTCTTAGCAGTGAAATGGTTAGACCCCTGCTTTTCAATAAAAAAAAATGCTTTTAGCATGTTCTGCATAGAAAAATTGGGCAGAAAGTGAACGGAATTGCCCTTCCCCCATTTAAGGATGAATAAAAAAGAGACTACAGTGCAGTTGAGATAGGAACGAAGAGGACCAAGATCTGAAAGCATCTTAGAGTCCTGTCTCTGTATCTCTGGAGATAGAATAACAAGCTGCAGATTTCCTTTGTTAAAATGTTTTCAACTGAGCATTTCCACCTATGCTCAGCTAAGGGCATTTAGAAATGCAAAATTTACAGAAATACCAATAAGCTTCCAACATACTCCTCTAAAGGAAGCAACATCTGAGAAAGCATTCATGGAACTCAGAGAAATGAGAGGAGGATAAAGTGGGGTCACTTGGCAGGGAGACTGAAAAATAAAAAGTGTCTTTCAAAATGGCAAGACCTCGGGTGCATCTGCTAATGGCGACCGGCTTGCAACCTCACCAGTGAATACAACATCAGAACTGAATGCCATAGCAGCTCTAAAGTAGACTAGATCAGATAAAGGCTTGTATACAAATCATAATACTCATTGCTTACTATAGACACCCATCTTTTTTTCTCTTCTCTTCTTTACTTTTCCTTTTCTTCTTTGAAGGACTGTAAAGAAAGAGTGAAATGCTGCCTTACTCCTTCCAGTGGTCAAGAAGTCCAAAGGCAATGGGTACAGAATCTTATTTCTCCTATGGAGAGAATCCTGGAGAATTCAGGCGGTCTTGAAATACCAGTATCCTATAATCTAGATTACTGTTTCTCAACCTTGGCAACTTTAAGTTGCATGGACTTCAACTCCCAGAATTCTCCCAGGCTGGCTAGGGAATTCTGGGAGTTGAAGTCCACACATATTAAAGCTGCCAAGGTTGAGAAACACAGATCTAGAGAGCAAATTTACACAGAGGGCTTATTTTTAGAACACCATTACCAAACCCTAAAAGTAAACAGGAGGCAAAAGATCCATCTCCTTTCACCTATTTCCAGCTGTTCCCATCCAAGCAAAGGAGGATAAATATTTCAGTGAATAAAGAGTGAGTGTGTGGTCTGGAGATGGAGTAGAAGATTAGAATCTGGTCAGAAATATCAAAATCAGACTTTAGCCCACTAGCATAAGAGATGCTTAGGTCTCTGGAGAGTCTTTGTTTAAGCCAAAACAGCATTTGAAATGGCCCTGGAGAGTCTTGTTGGCATCAGATATCGCTTGATTTATTTTTGTTTAATGTTCTGACACAAGGTCAGAGCTGTTCTGTCCTCAGAGAGACCTTGACAAAGCAACACCATCACTTGGGCGTTCTGGGCTTCAGGCCAGCTTTTGGAGAAGGGCCTGTTCCATTGCTTCCAGCTTCCACCCATGATTATGGAGTCATAAAGCTGGAGAATTCCATAGTACGCAGCCTAGTTCAATCTTCTCACAACTTCAGTTGAACTTTCCTTCATCGTGGAATTCCAGAATGCATCAATCCACCAGTAATTGGGCTGATGCATGACCATACGTTCTGGAGCGATACTGTGATGCTATTCTTGGAAAAATTAAAAACCATTTGTGATGTTCCTTCCTTTTTTCCTGGGAACTATAGTTACCTGCTGATTATGTTATTGGCTGGTTGCCTGCTTACAGCAAACACCTCTGGTTCATTTGCTTTGAATTTTCTATTATTATCCTAGAACATCCTCTGGGTGAAAATCCAGAGATGGCATTTCTAAATTGTAGATGGTGTATTGATTGTGCCTTTCATGCCCCCTCTGGCACAGTAAAACATTGACATATTATATGAATGTGCTTTAGGGGCTACAAACTACATTTTAATTATATATGGTATCCAATTGATAGAAGAATATAAAGATAGATACTCTGAGTGGTTGTAATGGTATGTGGGAATGACTTTGGGAGATGGGGGAAGAGATACTGCCTAGGGAATAATCAGATAAGAGAGGGCATAGCCCGCAGCTGCATAATGGGACAGAAAGAAACTCAGAAAGGACCCTCCCTAGCTTCTCGGACTGTAAAGGAAACAAAGACTTGCAAGACTGATGTCAGCCTTCCCAGGTAGACCAGACAGAAAATACAACCAGATGAGCTAATTCTACTTTATTGTAAATCTACATTAACAAAATCTTGCAAGTCTGAAAGTACAAATCTCCTGTCATCACCTTTACAGCCTGAAAAGCTAGGGAGGGTCCCTTCTGAACTTCTTTCTCCCTCCATTATGCAGCTGTGGGCTATGCCCTCTCTTATCTGACCATATTCTAGGCAGCATCTGTTCACCCCATAACCCAGGGTCATTCCCACATACCATTACAGTGGTACACATTCATTTCTTATTTGTTTACACTCTCAGACTAGAGAGTTTAGATGTTAATTTCTCTGGGCCTCACACTGCAAGCCTCCAGACCTCCCCCTGCCCTAGGGGTGTATGTATAACTTTGAATTACAGTGGTTGCATTCGCTACTGACCAGCAGGAGCCCTATATATAGATTCATAGGGCTGGGAGGGACCTTGAAAGTCTTCTAGTCCACCAGTGCAGCATAGAATGGTACTAACTTTTTTTATGATTTTGACACTCTACCTCTATTGATGCAGCCCAAAACTGCATTGGCTTTTTTGGCAGCTGCAGCACATTGATGCACAACCAGTTTCATTCTTGTTGGAACCTGTCAGGTGTTAGGTTGCACCCATATGTTAAATCTTATAGATTGTATGTTCAACTCTGTAAACATGATATGGAACATATAGTCTGTAAGTTCTACAGGCAGGCTCAGTAGTGAACATAACCACTATAATACGATACAATACGATGCAATACAAGAATTACTAATTTCTCTAACACAGATGTGGCACAATGCTGGTACCCCATGGGGATTTAGGGCACCTTAAAAAATGTATCATGCCATTTAATTATTTGTTATTCTAGAACATTTCTATGCTGCCCACCCTTTCAACAACTTGGGGTAGTTGACATTTAAACCTAACTGATACATAACCCAAACACTAAAACAGTAGCATTAAAAGGCTTGGAACCCCCCTCCCCACCAGCTGGTTTGCCAGGAGCATGGGGAGTACAATAGATAAGTAACTAAATAAAAATGTCAACTTGTTCCATAATGGAGAAAAACAGAATTGATTCTCCTTAACTTGTCAAACTAGACTTACCCATCCAGATGAAACCATTCCTGGAGATTTCCCCTAGCTTAAAACAATGTGTGCATGTTACACATGTCTGTGCATAGTTCTGTATGTGTGTGCATTTTCAACAGAAACTATACTTTAAAAAAAGAAGAACTGGGCCAGGATTAAAAAAGAGACAACTGAATGAATAATTGTTGGTTATAATTAATTGCCTGTACATTGCCAACCATTCTGTCTCATGGAGAGAAATGCAAAAGTAAACAACTCAGAACACACACCCACAGGAGAAGGAGGAGGTGAAGAAGGAACAGAGAGTTTGCAAAGGTTTGACTGGCGTTCTCCTGTTTTTAAACATAAAGAATTAGAATAGGTATGACCTGTTGAGGTATACTTTTCTACATTCACTTGAGGATATTTGCAGAGAAAGCCATATATACAAGAGTTTCAAATAAAATCAGTAAAGAGAAGTTCTGGATGGGGGTCACCCTAACAGCCTGAATCAGAAAGAGCATGGGCAGGAAGAAAAAAAAAAATTAGCAGTGCAGTGTAGTAAAAGGGAAACGCTCCTTAAGAAAACTGTTCATAATATTCATTTGTTCGGAGCGCTTGATCTTTCTAGGAAGCATCACTCAGCACCCAGATGATTAGTAAAATAAGTGAACCTCAGAAAAACTGTAATAGCAAAGAGCGGTCAGACGTGTTTCCACTCGACTTATACGCGTGATAGTCCAAAGACCCTGCTGCTCAGATTTCAAGGGCATAGGTACTATATGTTACTTGTGTATCTGCCACTGGTTCTCCTGCATTTTATTTTCCATCCTAGGCTTCGTCTTCATGATGGCAAGCTTATAAAGGACCGCCGCTACCATCTTCGCACATACCCAAATTGCTTTGTGGCCAAGGAGCTCATCGACTGGTTGATTGACCACAAAGAAGCCCCAGACCGTGAGACAGGCATCCGGCTGATGCAGAAGCTCATGGACCATGACATTATTCATCACGGTTGGTGAGCTTCTCAATTCTAGTAACCTTTGAGGACTTTTCCCAATGGCATGAAGGTGCTCTATCCAACTGTTCAGGCTGTTCCCTTAAACAGTGGCCCAGAGATCTCACAAAAGGATCTGAGATTCTGTGGATCATGTTCATTCCTTAAACCAAGCTCAGGGACATGCTGCAGCTCTCTGAATGTTGAACTCCAACTTCCATCTTTTTCATCATTGACCAGGCCGGCTAGGACTCCTGGAAGTTTAGCTGTATCTGGAAACTCACAAGTTCAGGCATCTCTGCTTTAAAGCAAGTTCTTGAAGTTGAGTAAAACCCTTCTATTTGAAAAATATGGCTGAAAAGATAATCTAGTTGGGGATCAGTTCCCTATGACGCCAAGGCTGGTCTGGTGCCTTCTCAATGGGTTGCAGACATAAATAATGGAAAAGGAGAGCTTTTAACAAAAAAGGAGGAGTAATCTCAAAGGCCAGTAAAAATATAAAGGGAGGAATATAAAGGTAGGGAATGAGTAATAATATTTACATTACTTAAGTGCCATTGAATCAGGCTCAACTCCTGGAGTTTGAATGGTGTAAACAAAAGAGAGGGAAGAATCCCAAGTTTTTAAAAAAAGTTCTTATTTAGGCCCAAAATGTCCTTTTCCAAGGACACTTCTGAAACATCCATGAACCAACTGATATTCACCAGTCTTTGTACTGTAATTACTTCCTTATAGATGAAATGCAATAGATTATTACAAAAAATTTTGGAGTTTGCATTTCTGATTGCAATAAGCATTCTGTGTAAAGTGTTGATTCAAAGGTTGCTTTATATTTATAATTAACTTGGAACCTCTTTGTGCTCAACAGCTTTGCATGGTACGGCAGTCTTTCTGTTATTTGTTTTCTAAAAAGCATGGCATAAGCAAACGATCTGCATTGGTATCTCATAGGAAGTTGGTGAACTAGTGTAATTAAGGATATGAGTTATGAACCAAGAATAAGCCTGTAAGATAAGAAGGACGACGTTGAAAAATCTTGCTGTTTTGTAAAGGGAGAGTTTTCTTCACAGATAGCTAGAAATTCTTGATGGGGTGTGTGTTTGTTTTTTAAAAGAGAAGGTGATGCTTCAGTTTTTCAACAAACACACCATGAAGGAGCCAATCATTAAGGTGGGAATGGTCACTGGAAGATTTCTTAGGTGTTTCCTGCTTGATGAATATTCCCTTTTCAAGATTATCTGGCAGAGGCCCCACAGTCATCCTCCCCTAGGAGGTGCACAAGGTCTGGGTCTATCTCCATCTCCAAATAGCTTGCAGAATGAGGTGGCTAAAAATCAAAATATACAGATTGTGGGATATTTCCCCATGACTTTTTGAGGCAGAGCATGAACAGTCAACAAAAGCTTGGAACAGCAGCTCTGTGTATATCTGAGAACTTCATGTGTAAGCCACAGAACAGGGTAAGGAATTTCTACTCCGATGTGGCACGTAGATGTACTGGTGAAAATCCAAGCATGGGGAACTGAAGTCTTCTTTGATGGCTTCTCCTTCAGGGATATAAATCAAACATTCCACAAACACCTATGCATACTTTCATTGCTGTATGCATTTGGCAAACATGACAGTTGGCCTGCTCTGCGGGTGCTTTTTCAGAAATGGTATCTAGGTGAAGACGGAGTCCAACTCTTTGAGTCTGCCTGTCCTGAACAGAGCCTGGTGTTTGGGGTGGAAACCATTGGTCATGCTTTCCCCACCATATTAGGGCTTGGCTACAGCTTTGATCATCTTTTGACAGAGGGCAATTCCGCACTGCAGCTTAAGCTGCTTGCCTCCCATGCTGTTCCCAGCTGTTTCTTAAACCAACTTCAGAAAATTTGAAGTGCCATGGGTTGCAACAGGGCTGGACTGGTGTCCAGGATTATGATTATTACTGCGTGGCTCCTGTGTGGACCAGTCTAACAATGAAGTCCTTGGTGCTCTCTGAGCTTGGTGGTTTGCTTGTAGACGTTTCATTACCTGACTAAGCACTGGTGATGTTACCTAGTTGGGTAATGAAACATCTGCAAGAAAACAACCAAGCTCAGAGAGCACCAAGGAATCCACAGTTCAACCCTGACCTGCAGATATTCTCTTCTATTGGCAGCCTAACAGTACTTGCCTTTTCCTTTTAGAGATTAATCCCTCCTCACTAGCTGAAACATCTGCAAGAAAACAACCAAGCTCAGAGAGCACCAAGGAATCCACAGTTCAACCCTGACCTGCAGATATTCTCTTCTATTGGCAGCCTAACAGTACTTGCCTTTTCCTTTTAGAGATTAATCCCTCCTCACTAGCCTTTCCTATGCTTTCCTAGAGGTTTGCACAAAGGGATACTTTCACTCCTCCCCCTGCCCCCTTTGATGCTAAAGCAGACCCTTTATCTTTTTTCCTTCCTTACTGCAGCATCTTTGATCTGATACTACAATAATCAAAGCAAGAGGGGGACAGGCTTCCTACCTTTCTCTGTAGGTCCATGGAGACTATGTACAGAGGAAGAGCTTCCTAGAAAGAAAGTAGGAAGTTTCCTAGTTACAACTTGAAGACATTTTTAAAAATAAAGGCAAGGGAAGCTTTGCATTATTGCAAGCAAGGGGAATATGGTTCATCAGCCTGCATGGAAACTGAAGGAGTCTCCCCTGGGAGATGTAAGGGTTGAATGGAGGATGAACTTCTGTGGTTCAGGATGGTTCATTGAGAACCGCATGGTTATAAAAAAAATCAATTACTGTCTCCTGGTAGCCCAGGACAAAATGGTTGCCCAGATTGTGTCTTTGTGTGTGTGTGTGTGTGTGCCAGGCACTGCAGCCAATCAGAGCTGGGGATGTGTAATGGTACGTGGGAAAGACCTTGGGAGACGGGACAAAGAGATGCTGCCAAGGGGATGGTCAGATAAGAGACAGAATAGCCCGCAGCTGGATAGTGGGTGGGGCAAGAGGCTCAGAAGTGACCCTCCCTAGTTTCTCAGGCTATAAAAAAGACAGGAGGGAGAATTGTACTTTCAGACTTGCAAGACTGATGTTGGTCTTACAGGAATCACAACCAGATGAGCTAATTCTACTTTATTGTAAAGCTACATTGACAGAATTTTGCAAGTCTGAAAGGAGAATCCTATTTCCCCCCCTCCCCCACACACACACACACCCCTTTACAGCCTGTCTCTTATCTATCTTGGCAGCGTCTCTTCACCCAGTCTCTCAAGATCTTTCCCACATACTATTACAGGATGCTACCAGAATGGGACAAAGTATTGAAGCCCATCTGCTCTGAAGAGCTTAAGATGTTATACAAGTTGTCCTCACTTACCAACTGCCTTGTACAGTGACCATTTGAAGTTATGACAGTGCTAAAAAATAACTTTGTGATTATATTATATAGCCTCACATTTATGGTATATATCCTCACATTTATTATATTATATAACTTTGTGATTATATTATTATATCCTCACATTTATGACCGTTGCAGTGTCTCACAGTCACGTGATCGCCATTTGCATGCTTTGCAACTGGTGTACATTTTTGCTTGCAACAAGCAGAGTTAATACTCTACAATATGGAAGGCAGAAGTAAATTCATAAGTGGTGGTCACATGATTTTTCACTTAGTGACTGTGTTGCTTCACTTAGCAACCAAAGGGGAACTAAGGTTGTAAGCCCAGTCATGGTCATGTGATTTTCTGTTTAGCAACCTCATTGCTTAGCAACCAAGTTGCTGGTCCCAATTGTGGTTGCTAAGTGAGGACTACCTGTAGGTCAGAAAACAGCAGTTTTCCATCACATCTGGAAAATATGGGCACAGGATGCATTTGTTATGGACTAGAAGTTGGGAGATTGACATCATCCATCTCTGCCCTCAGGAAGTGCAATGGGGCAAGCAGAAAGTGAGGGTCTCCCCAGATATGTTGGGTGTGGGGGTTCAGTGCAATCTAACATGAAGGTGCTAGTCTGGGGATGCTGAATAAGAACAGTCCTGATGGATCAAAGTTTACACTGATAATAGATTTGGTGCTGGAAGAATGGAGCTGAAGAATAATTCAAGTGTCATGAATCAGGGTTTCCCACTCTGATAAACATCTATCCTTGGTCCATTCCTATATAGCTTTTCAACATTTAACCCAGAAGACTTTTCATTTTGGTCTGAATTGGCCAGTTCCCTATTATGGTGGCCACAGGCAGATCCATCAGGATCTCCTATGAAAACCATCCCATGTATGTTCTGATACAGCACTCGGGTCTGGATCTCATGTAATGTTAGAATGCCTGCTATATACTAAATGGAGGTCAGAACTTATAACACCAATTGTTAGAAACCTTTATTGGTCTTCTGAACAAGAGATCACTGTTTTCCTCCAACTCCAAAGCTCTGAATTTAAAAATTTTTGATAATGTTATTTTAATCATCCCTTTTTATCTTTTTATCATGCTTGTTTTTATCCACTTATTATTTATTTGATTGTTGTATGCCACCCAGAGTCGCTTTGTGTGAGATGGGCAGCTATATAAATGTGACACATAAACAAACAGACAAACAAACAAGATCAAACTTCAGCTATTTCCAGACAGGTTTCTGGATTTCTAACAGTAACCGTAAAAAGTTCTAACAGTAACCGTAGCTTGTAAAAGTGACTGGTGCCTTCCCCACACTGTTAATTGTTTCAGCCTTCCTTGTACACATTAATTGTGTACAATTAATTGCTTCAGCCTTCCTTGTACACATTAATTTTTATTTTTTGTTTGATATACTGTTGCATTATTATGTTTTAAAAAATTGGTCT